GGTATATAGTGATCTTTGGTATATCGTGGCTTCAGTATATCGAGAGTATACTGTACTTATAATTTCAAAAATCTGTACCAATATCCAGAATGTTTTATCGTAAAAAAAAAAAAAAGAATATTATATATTTCAAGTAACAAACGTAAAAATAATGAAACTTCCACTATTCCTATTTATAATTTTAGACTTTATGCTATTAAGAGGAGAGGAGAAAAAAAAAATTTTAAAATAAATTTTTTTCTTCATACGTTGCAAAATCAAGATCTCTACCAATGAAAACCTGTAATATAACAAGTGATATTATCACAAGTACGATAAAAAGCAAAATACTAATTGTTAAAATATACATTTTTATAATATTATCTGAAATTTTATACTTTTTTTTACTATAACCTATTTTTGTAATATACTATTTTTGCATATAACATTTTCTTAAAATATATGTTTTTTTCATATAACCTGCTCATTAAAAATACAAAATTTTATACTTATTTTACATATGACCTCTATTATAATTATCTGGGATCCTATTAAGATAGGTTACCCTGTAACCTAAGGTAAGGTTTACATATAAAACTTTTTGAAGATCCTACTATAAAAGGAATTTTATGTTACATTGTTATGATCTTTTTCTTTTTAGTTAATTAACCAATAGAATTTAAGCAAATCCTAAGGTAAGGTTTTATATGAAAGTAATTTCTACCGGTGATATATCTTAGTAGTAGGTGGGGTCCTGCTGTATTCAAGATATATCTACACATTGGAATTCAATGTATTATGCTTGGGATCGTCTTTTCTTTTTAAAAGATGCTATTATCCAACTTCAAGCAAATTTATGCACATCAACTGATTGGAAAAGTAAGAAAGATGGCAATAAATTGAAAAAAATCTTACTTTCTAATGAAGAATAGAGTTTGTTAGATCAACTTATTAATATATTAATGCCATTTAAGGAAGCAACCCATGAATTTTCTGGCAATACATATGTAACTTTAAATCAAACCATTCCAACTATTAAGCCAAAAATTTATGATTTGGCTTCTAAAGTACCACAAAATGTTAGTGAGTTTTTGGATGAGAATACTGTATTTGACTCTAAAATTGTAGAAACACATCCTATTGATTTTGATGATAATGAAGTTATAAGTAATATTACAAAGAAAAGTATTTCAATTAAAAATTCATTAGATATAACAGGTGTTTTAGATAAAGTAAAGCAAAATATATACAATGCATTAATTTACTACTGGAATATTCCAAATGATCTTGGTTTAATGGCAGCTTTATTGGATCCTTATTATAAAAACTTGGATTTTATAGAAATTGATACTAAAAAAGAACAAATTATTCAAAAACTCCATGATGAAATTGGTGAGGTAATAGTATTAGAATCTGAAACTTTGAATAACCCAGCTCCATCCATAGATATATATAGAATCTTCAATATGTTCACATAAAGAATATTGTCAACAGCGTCAAAGTAAAACTAAAAAAGCAATTCTGAATATGGTAATTTGCGATGAAATTATGAATTATTTGTCATTACCATTAGCATTAGAGATAGAAAATACTTTAGATTGGTGGCAAATATGTTTTCAAAATTTTCCAAAACTTGCCAAGTTAGCTCGCAAGTATCTTGCAATACCAGCAACCTCAGTATCAAGCGAACGACTATTCTCTAATGCTGGTAATGTCATTAGTGTTAAGAGGATAAATTTAGATATAAAATTAGCAGGTCAAATGCTATTTTTAAAGTTTTTGCACAAGAATGGGATGAAAATATTGAGATAAACTAAATTTTATTAAATTTCAATAAAATTTTGATGATTTTATAAATTGTTTTTACAATATTTTGAACTGTTAATATATTGAATTTCTAGGTTTAATACCATTTTTTCGTTTTATAAATTTTTAAATTTAATATTTATCTATCATTTAAAATTCTAATAAATTTTCAATTTAATGATTATAATAAATAAGTTAATTACTGCAAAATAAACATATACGAAAAACAAACTGATTAAAAATAATTAAGAGAGCTGAAGAGTTATTTTTTATTTTTTTCATAATAATTTATTAATTTTTATTTATTTGAAAAATATCAGTGATTAGTTAATTATATTTTAAAAAAGAAAACAGATTAGAATTTAAAATACAGATGAAATCTGAATTTGGTTTAAATTTATAGATATCTGAATTGATTTTAGAATCTGAATTGGGTCAAATTATGGATGAAATCTGAATTTAAGTAATCATCTGTAAGATTTTTGAATTCAAATTATAAACTGGATTCAGTAATAAAAATTCAGATTTGATCCGAATGGCCTCCAAAATATCGGATCAGACCTCTAATGATGAGAGATGAAAAGGAGTGATGGGAGACAAAAAGAAGTGATAGGAAACAAAAAGAAGCAATGGGAGACGAAAAGAAGTGATAGGAGACGAAGAGGAGTAATGAAAGACAAAAAGAAGTGATGAGAGACAAAAAGAAATGATGGAAAGTAAATAGGAGAGGAAAAGAAATAATGAAAAATGAAAAAATGTAGTAGAAATAATGGCTGTCTCTTATACACATCTAGATGTGTATAAGAGACAGGTATATAGTGATCTTTGGTATATCGTGGCTTCAGTATATCGAGAGTATACTGTACTTATAATTTCAAAAATCTGTACCAATATCCAGAATGTTTTATCGTAAAAAAAAAAAAAAGAATATTATATATTTCAAGTAACAAACGTAAAAATAATGAAACTTCCACTATTCCTATTTATAATTTTAGACTTTATGCTATTAAGAGGAGAGGAGAAAAAAAAAATTTTAAAATAAATTTTTTTCTTCATACGTTGCAAAATCAAGATCTCTACCAATGAAAACCTGTAATATAACAAGTGATATTATCACAAGTACGATAAAAAGCAAAATACTAATTGTTAAAATATACATTTTTATAATATTATCTGAAATTTTATACTTTTTTTTACTATAACCTATTTTTGTAATATACTATTTTTGCATATAACATTTTCTTAAAATATATGTTTTTTTCATATAACCTGCTCATTAAAAATACAAAATTTTATACTTATTTTACATATGACCTCTATTATAATTATCTGGGATCCTATTAAGATAGGTTACCCTGTAACCTAAGGTAAGGTTTACATATAAAACTTTTTGAAGATCCTACTATAAAAGGAATTTTATGTTACATTGTTATGATCTTTTTCTTTTTAGTTAATTAACCAATAGAATTTAAGCAAATCCTAAGGTAAGGTTTTATATGAAAGTAATTTCTACCGGTGATATATCTTAGTAGTAGGTGGGGTCCTGCTGTATTCAAGATATATCTACACATTGGAATTCAATGTATTATGCTTGGGATCGTCTTTTCTTTTTAAAAGATGCTATTATCCAACTTCAAGCAAATTTATGCACATCAACTGATTGGAAAAGTAAGAAAGATGGCAATAAATTGAAAAAAATCTTACTTTCTAATGAAGAATAGAGTTTGTTAGATCAACTTATTAATATATTAATGCCATTTAAGGAAGCAACCCATGAATTTTCTGGCAATACATATGTAACTTTAAATCAAACCATTCCAACTATTAAGCCAAAAATTTATGATTTGGCTTCTAAAGTACCACAAAATGTTAGTGAGTTTTTGGATGAGAATACTGTATTTGACTCTAAAATTGTAGAAACACATCCTATTGATTTTGATGATAATGAAGTTATAAGTAATATTACAAAGAAAAGTATTTCAATTAAAAATTCATTAGATATAACAGGTGTTTTAGATAAAGTAAAGCAAAATATATACAATGCATTAATTTACTACTGGAATATTCCAAATGATCTTGGTTTAATGGCAGCTTTATTGGATCCTTATTATAAAAACTTGGATTTTATAGAAATTGATACTAAAAAAGAACAAATTATTCAAAAACTCCATGATGAAATTGGTGAGGTAATAGTATTAGAATCTGAAACTTTGAATAACCCAGCTCCATCCATAGATATATATAGAATCTTCAATATGTTCACATAAAGAATATTGTCAACAGCGTCAAAGTAAAACTAAAAAAGCAATTCTGAATATGGTAATTTGCGATGAAATTATGAATTATTTGTCATTACCATTAGCATTAGAGATAGAAAATACTTTAGATTGGTGGCAAATATGTTTTCAAAATTTTCCAAAACTTGCCAAGTTAGCTCGCAAGTATCTTGCAATACCAGCAACCTCAGTATCAAGCGAACGACTATTCTCTAATGCTGGTAATGTCATTAGTGTTAAGAGGATAAATTTAGATATAAAATTAGCAGGTCAAATGCTATTTTTAAAGTTTTTGCACAAGAATGGGATGAAAATATTGAGATAAACTAAATTTTATTAAATTTCAATAAAATTTTGATGATTTTATAAATTGTTTTTACAATATTTTGAACTGTTAATATATTGAATTTCTAGGTTTAATACCATTTTTTCGTTTTATAAATTTTTAAATTTAATATTTATCTATCATTTAAAATTCTAATAAATTTTCAATTTAATGATTATAATAAATAAGTTAATTACTGCAAAATAAACATATACGAAAAACAAACTGATTAAAAATAATTAAGAGAGCTGAAGAGTTATTTTTTATTTTTTTCATAATAATTTATTAATTTTTATTTATTTGAAAAATATCAGTGATTAGTTAATTATATTTTAAAAAAGAAAACAGATTAGAATTTAAAATACAGATGAAATCTGAATTTGGTTTAAATTTATAGATATCTGAATTGATTTTAGAATCTGAATTGGGTCAAATTATGGATGAAATCTGAATTTAAGTAATCATCTGTAAGATTTTTGAATTCAAATTATAAACTGGATTCAGTAATAAAAATTCAGATTTGATCCGAATGGCCTCCAAAATATCGGATCAGACCTCTAATGATGAGAGATGAAAAGGAGTGATGGGAGACAAAAAGAAGTGATAGGAAACAAAAAGAAGCAATGGGAGACGAAAAGAAGTGATAGGAGACGAAGAGGAGTAATGAAAGACAAAAAGAAGTGATGAGAGACAAAAAGAAATGATGGAAAGTAAATAGGAGAGGAAAAGAAATAATGAAAAATGAAAAAATGTAGTAGAAATAATGGGAGATGAATAATGAGAAGTAATATGAGGTGAAAAATGATGAGAGACACAAAATAAAAAAAAAGATCATAATAGGATGATAGGAAACTAAGTAAAAAATAAACCATAAAGTAAAAAAAAAATGAAGTTAGTATATAAGATAAAACTGAAATAAATAAAAATAAATAAAAAATAAAAAATCTACCTTTATTAATTGTAAAACTAAAAGAACTAAAATATCTAAAAAAAAAATGAAATAAAATTAGTGAAAAATGAAATAAAAAAAATAAAAAAATGAGTAAGAAATAAAACGTAAAGTGAAAAACCATTAAATCTTAATTGCAAAACCAGAAGGACTAAAGAACCTAAAAATAATGAAATTGAGTTAGTGAGAAAGAAATAAAAATAAAAGAAAAAGAAAAATACCTTGAAACTGAAAGAACCAAGGAATGAACCTATACCGAAAACAAGATTCAATAACAAAGCATGTCTGAGGTTAATGGTGCAGTGTGATACAGCGATTTTTCCAAAAAAAAATTAAATTGCAATTTTTTTTATTTAAAATAAAACTTTTAAATTTCTGCACTAGGTGTATTTTCATCCGCTCTGCAAATTTACTTAGAGTATATACAGATGGTTTAGAAGGCCATTTTTGAGTTATTTAACAAAAACTGTTCTTTAAACAAATCCAATTTTGGAAATGATCAGCAAAGATGATAAAATCGGTTGTTATATACTAAAGTCAAAATCTACTTCCAAAACCTCCTTTCATTTATAAGTGAATTTTGTAAAACAGATGAAAATACATCTAATGTGTAAATTTGAAAGCTTTGAAATCTTTAACTTAAATCTTTTTGAATTACTGCGCCACACTGCGCCACACATTTCAGACGTGTAAACAAATAAACATGACGCGATCATGTGGCAAACGTTCCGTCGTTTCCGTACCTTATATAAGAGAAGTAACGTAATGGATCATCGGCGGTGACATTTGGCGGTGTGTTACATAATGGTGTGAAGCGTACTCAGGTGATGAATAGTATCTCGGCCCACTCTGAATCACGTGTTTGGCCTGTCGTGTTATTTATCACTTGAGTAAACTGCCACATCGGGACCGTACTCCACCCCAAATTTCCGTATCACTCGCCAATTTCCCGTTACTTACTTTCTATATATTCCCACGTTATCGTCCACTTATATTCTTCTCCGCAGCTGTTCACGTTAATCTCCCTGTACCATATAAGATTCTTTTTATTTTTGCAGTTAATAAAAACACAAATAGAAGCCTTATTGCAAAAGACATGTCATCCACTCAACCCGAGAGAAAGGACACCACTAAATTCACATTTAAGAATGGAGGGAAAACTTATGGTAGTTTGATTCTTTTTTATAGCGCATCTTTCTGCTATTATTCACGTTTCGGACTTAGTTTTTACTCTTCATTTTCGTAGAATTGTGGTTAGCGTTAGGAGAGGAAAAAGTAAATGAAGTGAGATTACCCGGTGGCAAAAAATTTGATGGAAAGTGTTCTCTAAACATTGAAAGCATTTTTATTCAGTTACTATTATTTCTAATCTTAAATTATATCAACAGAAAAAGACCATGCAATGAGTAAGTTAATGTCGGAAAATTTCTCTAATGAAACTTACGAGAAAACATTTAGTCAACTCCAAATGTTAGGAAAAGGATCATTTGGGAGTGTGTGGAGTGTAAGTCTTTTTACAAAATTAATCTCATTTATGACGCGCTTTGTAGTTACAAGCATATGCTTAATTATATAGGCAATGCATAAATATGATAAAAATACTTATGCTATTAAAAAAATCATCGTCAGCAAGGTCGAAAATATTTATATGGTTTGTTATTTTGTTAAAATCATATTTCCTTCGGAAATACCCTTCAGGTATTTTCGTTGTTAAAATTTATATTCCCAAATATATTAACGAGCTAAGTTTTAGGTTTTCCAAGAAGCCCAAGCTCTCGCTAAACTTGAACACCCAAACGTTGTGAGATATTTTTCTTCCTGGATACAGAGTTGCAATAGTGACTGGACGGATCTCACCCCTGTGAAATTAACTATTTTTATCCAAATGGAATTGTGTTCGACCTCTCTCAAACGAGTTTTAGAAAAACGTGATGGTCAGATCGATCCGCTTTTTAACATCAAAATATTTCATGGGATTATGAAAGGAGTAAGTGTCGAATTATTTATGCTTCAGTCCTTCATAATTTCCTCTGTTCCTCAGAAATTTGAGAAGAATTTTTTTTGTATATGTTTTGTCTATATATCATTTATCAATAAACAAATCGTATACAACAAATTAAGAGAGTACTAGGACTACGTTCCTAGGGACACAATGTTTGTTTGTTTGGAAACGTTACCATGGTGACTGATGAAGCACTTTGTTTTGTCAGATTGAATATGTCCATGAAAAGAAACTCGTTCACCGAGATTTAAAAACGGATAATATTTTTTTACAAGAAATTAATACCGAATTTATACCAAAAATTGGTGATTTTGGTTTGGTAAAATCCGAAGAACCAACGGTAACGCTCATTATTTTTAATTTTTCATTATCATATAGTGATGATATAAATACTAATATACTTAAACATTATCTATTACAGCATCTTGAAGCTAATACCAAGGAGAATGATATTTATTGTCTCGGGGTTGTATTAAAAGATTTATATTTCCCTCGTAAAAGTTTAGATGACCTTTTGATTATGGTTGAACAACAAGGCGACTTTAATAATATAGTAAGTCTATTTTTGTGAACATTAGTTCATTGAAGTAACGATTAGATTTAAGATTCTTTATTTTTTGTAATTGAATTAAACTCTTACTTAGATAGAATTAATCTTCAAAATGACTAAAATGACTGGTAGTGATCCTCCTCAAGCAACAAAAATCCTTGAATCCGACATTTTTAATATGTTATCTGATAATCACTCCGGAGCTCTTACGTCAAAAATCAACTCGTTGGAGGAAAAAATTAAATCATTAGAACAAGAAAATGCCGACTTGAAACAAGAAAACAACGTTAAAAAAGAAAAAATTAAATCATTGGAGCAAAAAATTGAATCAATGGACGGGAAGGCGGATTAAAATAAGGAATAACATTTTATACAAGTGTAAAGAGTTCAATCATTATTTTTTTACGAAAAACATCTAGCGGATAGGATTTTAATAAATCATTGTAATGAAATAACAGAGATAGTTTTCAAGGAGATATTTCTTGTACTCGTGATATAAAGAAATAAATTTGGTAGCATTTTTTCACATTTTTTAAGAATAAAGTTATTTACAAAGTATACGAGAATAAAGTGTAAATTTATATACACATTAGATAGGTTAGATCCCGGATTAGTCACTAGCATCTTTTAGAGTTCATTTGGAATGGCCAGTTTCGGTGTAACTAGCTTAAGCTACTAAAAATACCAACAGTGCAGTTGCGTACAACAACGGTCAACAAAGATTGTATAACCATAATAACATAATAAAAATAATAAACCCACTGATTTTATCTTGTATCGAACAAAGATAGTTTAGAACTAACCCGCTCGTGAAGTGTGTTTCCTCGAAGTTGACACACTACTATAACTTTATTATTTTACGAAAAATGTTTATCGTAGTATAATGGTCATGAATTGTGAAGTATTTCCTGAATACAATTTGGCTCATCCGCATTATCTGTTCAAGAGCTTTATTTGATCGGGAATCTCTATTAGTTGTATCATTTTTCGACCATATTCTTGAAGTATATTAATATGTATCTGTTATTCGCTAGCCGATTTTTCATTTCTTTGTTTAAGATCCTATTCTATATTTTTTCTTCTAGTAGTGTTAGACTGTAGACTATCATACGTGTTCTGGATTTGGTCGATTCTTTCGAGGAATTCCAACGAGTAGTCACATCATTAATTAATTGGAGATATTTAGCCGTACCCCTGGCATCCTAAAAAAAAATCAAAGTTATTATAGTTATTAGTTAAAATTAATAATTTTCTTAACTTAAAATAATTAGCTTTGAAATTAATAAAAGGCATAAAAAATATTTACTATATATTCTTCTTGCTTTCCTTCAGCCAAATTTTCATTATTATCTAATCTATTTGCATTGGGATATTTTTTTTTGAATATCTTCCAAACGTTTAGATTGTTTTGGACGCATAAAAAAATCAATTAATCTTTTTACTCGTACAATTAGTTTTTTTACCGGAACCAACCCTTTTCCAATTACAAGCTGGAGGGTATGCGCAGTGCATCCTTGCCACTCAATTCCATCCATATCCGAGATGGCCTTCTTCATGTTGGCAGCATTGTCGGTCGTAATTGTAAAAGTCTTTTCACGTAATTTCCATTCATCTAATGTTTCTTCCAAGCTTTCCATTATATGTTGAGAAGTATGAGGATACCGAACATAATTAACAGTTAAGGTAACCTCATAAAGGTTAAATTTGGAATCAATGTATGAGCAAGTTATACCAATGTATCCCTGTCCATTTTTTGCAGTTTACATATCAGTAGTTAATGATACGTTTTTTGCTTCTACATTGATTTTTTCAATTAGTGTTGGTAACATAGAATTATAAGCATTATAAATGATTTTTTTAACTCCCTTTTCATCTGGTATTATAAAGGAAGGTTCTAATTCACAAATAAGTTTACGAAATGATGGACTTTGAACTACATATAATGGTTGAAAATCTTCAATTATCCAATCAGTCAAGAACCAGTTTTGGCCTGAGCAATAGCTTCAATTTCAACCTTTCCAAAAGTCAAAGTGTATTCGTAGGCCCTATTTTCCTTTGATGCATTGGGTATATCAACGCACCAACTATCAAGTAATTCAACACCTGGTTCATCACAATATGTTGCATTATCTTTTCTTGTAACATATATATCTAATCCCAGTTTTTTTTACACTATATTAAGTGGGTAATAAGTTTTTACAATTTTCTCATTAACAGCCACTTGGTCACCACGTTTTGCTAATCTACTAAATTTAAGAACCCTTCCATCTGAACGTTTTCGTTTAATCGGATCTCCTTGTTCCTATTTTTTTGCAACGTCGGTCCCTTATAAATATTTAAAATTATTGTTAATATTAAAAGAGTATATACCCATCAATTTAATTGTAAAGAATAAAATTTACCATATGTCCACTTTAATACACGAGTTTTTATAATTTCCTTTTCCAATCCAAATTGAACGGCTAAATTTGTGAAAAGAATCTTTAGTATAAGCAGTGTAAACACCATTAACTTTTGTTCAAAACTTTTATACTTTACCTCCTCTTACAACTGCGGTGACAGGTTGTATAGGAACAGATATATTTGGTACTTTAGTTATCCCCAAATCCTTTTTTAATTCTTGCCTGCAAATATTTTGATTCGCTGAAACCACCAACTAAGAACATCATAGCACAAATATCATAACCATTTTCATGAGATTTATCAAGTTGTTTATGAATTAAAGAGATAATCCTTTCTATGACAGGATTAAACATTAATTTAATGTCATCAAACATTAATTCAATTATCCATTCCATATTTTCCATTTCGTCATATTTTTCTCCTTTAACGCATTGTTTTAAAATAGAACACAATTCTATTTTTAACAAAATAAATTTAACACTGTTGTACCAATTTTTCGATAAAAATCTTTATATAAATAAAAAAAGATACTAAATCGAATTCGTGAGTTTGGCATGTGATTCTTGTCCAGTAAATTAGGTTTTGACGCGTCTACAAAAATCCTGTACCATATATTGTAATTGGTTATAATTGTTTTTCCTGACTAATTTAAGAGCTGATTCTCCAACTTTTTCACCAATAAATTTAAGAAATTCATCGTCTACAAAGCTTCTTCCACAGAAATCCCCTTCACTTATCACCTTTCAAAAGCTTACGTGTCATCAAATCATCAGTCCACCACCGCAGTCGACGATCATAAATAATGCTATGAATAACAAACTATTTGTTTAATTTGTAAATTTAAATTAGAAAATATAAATATACTTTTTCTTACATCCAACGCCAATATGATATTCCTTTTTCTTCATACAGTAAACCGCTGCTGCTTCAGCTAAACAAATTAAATATTATAAAATGCTTTCAGCCTGTAAAATTGAGTAGTAATCTTATTAGGAAATCTAGATTTATATTACGACTTAAGAATTCATCTTTTTATTGTCTTTACAATAACGAAAAGGAGTTTGCTATTTATCACCGGCGGTGATCATCACCGGTGTCACGTGATTTTATAAAATTTGGCCGGAATTAAGGAATTGACATATAAATTTCCTTTTATGGAGTTTGAGTAACGTTACACAATCCAAAAAAGGCAATTTTGTTTCTCATCAAAAATGAGAAATGCATTACACAATATTCCAAAAAAGGAAATTTTTATGTAGATCACCTAATTCCGGCCAAAATTTTAAAAATCACGTGACACCGGTGATAATCACATCTACCCCAGTATCGCCAGAAAATTTTTTCACCTCCACGTGACTTTGGCCGGCATTATGAGATTTGGCTGGAATTAAGAAATTAACCATGTGTCGAATAACGTGTGACGAATAGGATTTTAGACACCAAAAAAATCTAAGTCCCCAGTAGAGCTTGGACTCGCACTCATGTAACTCGAGTTGACTCGAGTTGAACTCGCACTCAAGTCAGAAATTTCTTGACTCGAGTCAACCGGGATCACGTGGTTGATAGTGCCGGCTGAACCCTATTTGTAATTCCTGCCGGCACTATGACTATAACGG